GGCTGCCGCGGGCGCCGGCGCCGGGCGTAGAGGCGGAGAGCCTCGAGCAGCGGCTCCTGCAGCCGCTCCACCCGCCGGGGCTGCTCCAGCTCCATCCGGTCTGGGGACAGAGAGAGCGGGGATAGGCTCTGCGACACTGTCCCCGTGTCACCGTGTCCCCATTCCCATTCCCGTGTCCCATGTCCCTGTCCTCGTGTCCCCGTGTCCCTATTCCTGTGTCCCTGTGTCCCTGTCCTCATGTCCCAGTGTCCCCGTGTCCCCATTCCTGTGTCCCTGTGTCCCCGTGTTCCTGTGTCCCCATGTCCCCGTGTCCCCATTCCTGTGTCCCCGTGTCCCCATGTCCCTGTATGCCCATGTCCCTGTGTCCCCATGTCCCCGTTCCTGTGTCCCCACTCCTGTGACCCCATGTCCCCGTGTCCTTGTGTCCCTGTGTCCCCGTTCCTGTGTCCCCATTCCTGTGACCCCATGTCCCCGTGTCCTTGTGTCCTTGTGTCCCCGTGTCTGTGTGTCCCCGTTCCCGTGTCCCCATGTCCCTGTGTCCCTGTTCCTGTGTCCCCATGTCCCTGTGTCCCCATGTCCCCGTGTCCGTGTCCCTGTTCCTGTGTCCTCGTGTCCCCGTTCCTGTGTCCCCATGTCCCTGTGTCCCCATGACCCTGTGTCCCAGTGTCCCTGTTCCTGCGTCCTCGTGTCCCTGTGTCCCCATGTTCCTGTGTCCCCATTCCTGTGTCCCCATTATCCCCACGTGCCCATCTTCTGCCCGAAGATCCCCATATCCCCCCCGATAGCCCCTCGTGTCCCCACCTCCACAGCTGAGCAGTCATAACTCAGTCCCGTGTCCCCACGTCCCCCTGTGCACCACAGCCCTGATACCCCCCCGATGTCCCCATGTCCCCACCCCCACAGATGAGGCAGATGGCACTCAGCAGCCCGGTCTCGGTGTCGTCGAGCTGCAGTGGCAGCAGCTGCCCCGCGAAGGCGAACACGAGGTCGGTGAGGGGCCCGAAGCCCGCGTTGTGCATTTGGGTCCGGGTCAGCGTCAGCCCGTCCGAGAACGTCATCGTGTCCTGCTCCGGCGTGTAACGGGTGCAGATCCGCAGCATCTGCGGGGCAGGGACACCAAAATCACCCAGGGGCACCAGAACACATCCAGGGACACCAAAAATCCATCCAGGGACATCAAAAATCCACCCAGGGGCAGCAGAACACATCCAGGGACACCAAAAATCCACCCAGGGGCAGCAGAACACATCCAGGGACAC